ATATGATTTACGACTTCTTTCCTGTTGTGTAAGGCAGAGGACTCTCTCCATGCAGTTTCACTGAAATTCAGATTAAGCTCTTACTATCACATAGAGAGGTTTATTTCATCTCACATTCATTTTAACATTGACAAAAACTTTCCAAGGTAAAAAGCAGGTCCCAGCTCATTTGCAACTCATAAATTCAGCAAACTTTGATATTTAGTAGAACAAGAGTGATTGATTCAGTTTAACGGAAAGAGTGGAGTTTCCTATTCTGCCTTCCTAAATCACTTTTGTAAAATAATTAAAAGTTGGGTCCTATTTCTCTTTTGTATGCATGCCTCTAAAATCAATCTCCAAAACTATAAGATTATTTTCCTAGATTTCAATGTAAACAGAAAAATGAAACAACTATAAAGGCCTCATTCAAGCTAAATTTTCTTGACTTCTAAGGGGCTTATTTTTTATCCATTTATTTTTCACATTCTAATGTGGTTAATTAAGACAGGTTGTATGTGTATGCTTAAATAAATTATTCAGACATTATTGTGCTTCCTAACCCAAGCATGTCTTGACAAGTTAAAAAAGCTGTTTAAGAAATAGAAATCCCTGAATACTTGAAAATCATGGGCCTTTGTATTGGGTTTGCACGGTAAGATTTTGGTGATGGAGTGGTTACAGGGATGGTCTCTGTGAGAAGGTGATGGAAGCTTCCCCGATGTCTGATAGAGCCAATGACAGCCGGCTCCAAGACAGATCCACCACTGGCCAAGGTCAAACCCATCAGTGGCAGTGACTGGGATAACATAGTCAAAACCGGGTAAAACAACTGCAGCCAGAGAGATGGATGAGAATACGTGAGAGGAACAGCTCTGCAGACACCCAGGTCAGTGCATGAGAGGGGAAGCAAAGCAGAAATTCCACTGCAGCCCATGGTGCAGCCCATGGTGAAGCTGGCAGTGCCCTTGAAGGACATGGATGTCCATGGTGAAGCAGATACCCACCTGCAGCCTGGGGAGGACCCCATGATGGAGAAGGGGGATTCCCTAAGGAGACTGTGAAGCCTGCACTTCCTTTTGTTAAATGGTTAACATGCTTCCTGAAGAAAAAAAAAATAAAAAAGGCCAGGCCAAGCAGGACTTAAGGGTTGTACAACCCAGACACTATTCCCAATAGGCTGTTTAGAATCACAGAATCATAAAATAGTGAGGGTTGGAAAGGACCTTAAGATCATCAAGTTCCAACCCCCCTGCATGGGCAGGGACACCTCACACTAAACCATGTCATCCAAGGCTCTGTCCAACCTGGCCTTGAACATCGCCAGGGATGGAGCATTCACAACCTCCCTGGGCAACCCATTCCAGTGCCTCACCACCCTAACAGTAAAGAATTTCTTCCTTATATCCAATCTAAACTTCCCCTGTTTAAGTTTTAACCCATTACCCCTTGTCCTATCACTACAGTCCCTAATGAAGAGTCCCTCTCCAGGAGGTAATAAAATTTAGCCAACTGAATGCAAGCCATGTTGTGTAGGTTGGTAACAGGGCTTCATAATAGTCAGGGACACATTTTAGTTACTAATCAGACAGTGCTGTTGCTTATGATCAAAATACTAACCTAAATTTCTATTAAAAAATTGTACAAAGGGCATTTTATTCTGGCATTTTATTCTTTATCACCACTTTTTAAAGCCTCAGCGACAACAAATTAATTTAGCTTCTCAATAGTGTCCATATACACCATCTAAACCTTAAGTCAATGGCATAACAGCTTTCTTGTAAACTTACCACTTCAAATACAGCAACAGCTTTTTGTTTTTAATTCAGTCTTCAATTCCTTATTCCTCCTCTAATCCATTCTACTTTACCTTACTTATTGCAACAATATCCTCCTTTCATTAATTACACAAGTTCATGTCCAACTAATTATCCAGCATGACCATCAGCTCCTTTCAGAGTTACTAAACTACTGAATCATGTCATACCTTCTCCAGCCTTACAGTTCTGGTTTATATTCAATGTTTCTGGAAGGAAGAATGATTTTTATTTTTTTCTCACCTGTGGGAAAGGTTGGAAGCTTCTCTTCTTAAAACTTTAGGCAGCTTTTGAGTTTCCCAATTTTTAAAGCCTTTTTTACATTTTCCAGTATCATATTTGATCAGGTATTCCCATAAAGATAGTATAATTACATTGCTGTCATATATAATGGGTTCAGGTTTGACTTTTACACTCCCAGGAACTCTAAGCTAGAACTCAAGAGGATAATTTTGTCAGTCTGTGCTGTGCCATGTATATCTAGTAACTGAGACAAAAATAATTGAGACTCCAATCCTCCAAAGGTATGTCTCCATATCACACTTTGTTTCCATGAAGACATTCAAACTGCCACCATCACTTCAGGGCAAGATAATTGCTTACAAATAGCTCTTACCTCCTCATGTTCCCAGAGCCTAGGAATTCCATAGGACTGAATGAAACTGCTTGCAAACGGTACAATTTAATAATTCAATTAAAGTTCTGCAAAGGTTTTGTATATTATTTCCCTCCCAACCCCCATGGGCATTGTGTTTTAAAATAGCATGCGTAAATCTGTAGTTTTGTCTTTTTTACCATAAAGGGAACATGAATGCTTTCACTGAGATAGTAAGAGCAAAAGAAGTTCACTGCTAGCACTACCTGTCATCTAGGCAGCCTTACAAACCAGTAAAATATAAATGTGGATACAAATCTGGGACACTTGACCCCAGAATTTACCTACATTCAGGTGCATATAAGCCATACTACTACCACAAAGACACTTTGAGTTCTTTCTCTAGTCATTAAATTGCTGGGGAGGAAAGATTTTACTCTTATAATCCTTGTTTGTACATGATATTCATACACATTGGCCAATACTTCTAACTTGACAGAAAGGGTTGTTTCCTCATGTATCCCTCCCTATGTATATAAAATATTTTGAGATGGTTCTGTCTGAGTCTTTTTGCTGTTTCCTAAAAAATTATTTTTGTCTTGGTCTTAGAGGGGTTTGGGGTTTGGCTTTTTTTGCCTCTCCTAATATTTTTGACTGTCTGTTAGAGTAATCTTGAGTGCTTTGACTTCCAGAAGGCATATATTATCTATTTTACTCCTCATATGTATGGTATGCTTTACCACCTTGTATGCTCACAGTTCAGGACTGGGAAGCAAATACAACTCCATAAATAAATTGTCAGCTTCTCAGGAAACTATACAATGTTTTATCTAAAGCCTCTGCAAAATTTTCTTACGGACACAAATTAGTCCAGGAAAAGAATTCAACCATAGGATTTTCTATATAGTGCTGGTTTTACATTATCAAGCCCCACAAATTTAATTCTAAAATGCAGCATATTAAATAAGAGCACTGAGGTGACTCCACCCCCTTTTCAAATTGAGAATCCATTTGGCATTTGAATCACTTTTCTGGTAAGAATATAATTAATTATTACAATGCTTTGCTGCTTAATGTTTCTTACAGAATCCTTTTTGAAACTTTTTGGAAGCCTCTTGCAACTTCAAGAGTTTTTATTAGCAGAACTGTGCTGATCTCTACCATATGTACACCTACCATTTTGCACCCTTTCTGAATAGCATTAGAAAAGTTTTAAATATAAGAATATTATAATTATGTAACACCAGTTCTGTTGATTCATTTTCCAAATACAATTCTTTGAATTTTTGGTATTTCACAATTTTTTTTATTACTTCACCCATAGATTTCAGAACTAACACTATGCTTTATTTTTGTTTGAAAGTTCACATAGAAATTGCTTAGACTCTAAAATGGAACCAACACTTCATGTTTAGCTTGATCTTATGTAACACAGAATATTTCTAGTAGTCCAATACTAGTGTTGCTGAATCTTTCTGAGGAGCAGCACTAAAGCATAAAATGTCTTAAGTCCTGTGCAACTACATCTCACAGAATGGAGACAGAAAGGAATCAGAAGAAAAATTATTTGGAGTTCAAATGATTTGGAAATCCTGCTTGGTCCAGAAAAGAAGGTTTCCTACGTTCTGATCCCAGGGTTACTGAAGTCCATAAGAGTCCTTTGAAGGACTTCAGTGGGCTTCATAGATTCTGCCCAGGTGCTGCTCCTCCATTTGCAATTTTGCATATAGTAACAAGCTTCAGAGATGAGTAAAGGAAACAGAAGCACTTTATTCTCATGGAATGAAGTTGTGAATGCTCCATCCCTGCCATTGTTCAAGGCTGGGATGGACAGAGCCTTGGGCGACGTGGCTTAGTGTTAGGTGTCCCTGCCCATGGCAGGGGGGTTGGAACTCAGTGGTCTTAAGGTTCTTTCCAATCCTAACTATTCTATGATTCTATGAATGTAATAGTTTTAACCATACTTTTACACTGCAAACATGAATGAGTGCTTGCAGGACTGGTGGCTGTAGCCTGTACCCTTCAGACGTTATTTGCTCGGGGAAATATTAAATAGCTGAGATAGTCCAAGGAAACTTAAATACGTGGAACTGCTTTTGAGCCACAGTCTTTAGAGAAGGAATATGCATACTCCTTAACAATACACAGTGCTTTTTTTATTTTGTACTTGATCAGGATTCCCTAGATCTCTAGAGACTTATGGGAGAAAGAAGAAAACACCATGTCTTTACGTCTGTCCCAAAACCTTGGTGCTCTGCTAAACCATTTACAGGCAACATTATTTCCAAAGTGAATGTCATCTTTTAGTTGTTGTCTAAAAGGGAAAACTTTCACATAAATAACTGATATGGAAAGTATCATGACCTACAGATAAGAACTGAAATATTGGGATGATAAATCTTTCCTTTCATATTAACAAATGAACAAAATTAGCACTAGTCCAGCACTAAGAAGAGGCTACGAAATATGCAAATACTAGAAATGAAATATGTGGATTTATTTCTCTCTGTGAAAAATTGTGTATGTATCAAACAGAAAATGTATTACCAAGACTGCCCTGAGTGACACATGCACACAGCTCAGCATGTCAAAATCTGATTTTTTTATTTTTGTATTCAGTGGAACATTTTTAATTCAGTGATTTAGGATCTTCAAAGTTACTATTTCAGTGGTAACTGTATTTGGTTACCCTGGTAATAGCTGACCATGAGTTCTGAACAGTATGCCAGATAAATTTAGGAGATATGTAAAAAAAAAAACACCCGTATTATTCTTATTGACGTTAATAGGTTGTTAATAAATTCTTTTTATGAAAAATCTTTTAAGTGATTGCATTGCCATCTGCTGAATGTAATACAGCTATTAGCCAAAATAGACAAATATATAAATAATACCTATTACTTGTGAATTATACAGAATACATATCCTACATGACATGTAAGATCAAACAACAGACAATCTACTTGTCCCCGCACTCTTTTCAAATCCCATCATTTTAAATAGTCCCAGCGTGTAGGTTCCACTTTGGTTAACCTGTCACAGCATTCTCTTCCAATTCCGTCAGTGATAGAAGGTTGTTAGTGATAGGACAATTAGACTTGAATATTACAATGGGGTTTGAGCAGGTGATTCCTTAGAGAATACAGTGAAAATTAAATCGGTGATACTGGATCAAAACTAATTTACCTTATCCAACATATTGTCTTTGGATAATAGAAGATGGTTTCAAATACAGGGTCAGAATTGCAGAATGGCAGATGTGCTTCTGTTTGGTTGTTGGTTTTTTTTATACCTACATTAGCTTTCATCTTGATTATAATGGTTAAAAACTGACACAAGTGTTCCTATTAATTATTCCTACCCTGGACAGCCAATCAGTGGTATCTCTAGGAGGTTTATTCAAGCTGCAGATGACATCAGGATACATCAAAGCTGCAAGCACGTTAAGATGGCCTCATGCCAGGCCAGCTTCAATCTGGTAGGGATCTTTAGCTCCAGCAATGTGCTAGATTCGAGAGCAGCTCTGCTCCAGAAACAAAACTGCCTCTTTTGCATAGCATCACAGCTAGCATAATAAGCTGTGTGAGACTGGAGTTGATGCCATGCAAAACACTGTGTCCTGGAAACTGGAGCTTGGGAAAAAGCTGTACAGAGCCACAGCTGGGTATTTCTGCATATGATCAGCTAGGGTCCAACAAGGCTTATTAGCTTCAGTTAAGTACTAGTGATAACACATTATCTCTTTCAGAAACATTTGGATGTCTCTGCTCTATAGACAACAGAAGCCTGTTTACTGGAAAGGCTTTTTAATCCTAGAGAAGTGTCACATGAATGCATGGAACCAGCCTGAGTCCAGCACTGTATCGGAGCTAACAAGCCAACTTTGAACATGGAAGGCTTTGAAGCATGGGGTAGAGACAACAGTTCTGCAATAATTAGCTCAAAGCCAGTGCTGGACCAAACCAGTTCAAGACCAGGGTGCCATGAGAACTGTCTTGGTGCAAAGATATATGGACATCTGCATGCTCCTAATGCAATACCTTGCTTATCCACGTATTCCCACTGTCTTGGGATGACAGATTCCACTTAGTTTAAATATATTTTTTTCCTATTATTGGCGATGCTGTCATTTAATATGATGCACAATGTAATTAATATTTCCCTGCAATTATGACATTCATAATACCTCCTTATGTAAAAGCTCTATTTCTTTAATTATGTTAGCATCAGAAGGTACTACCTATTTCCTCATAGTCATAGCTGGTTTTCTGGTAAATCATACATTTCCAGTCACTGCATTCTCATAAAATAACAACAGATCCTATTTCAGTCTGACATAAAATTTAAGTTTTGTGCATTCATTCTGTATAGACATAAATTATTTTATATATTACACCAGAACTGGACAAACCTGTGAGATAATTTGATGTGCACTTGGAAGTGGATGTTAAAGATTTCTTTCATGTCACATATTGTGGCATCTGCTCTTGTATTGAAAATACAGTAGCCAGATGACACAAAGTATGAAACTGGTACAAACTCACTCTGTTGTTTTGAATTAGTTAAAAAATATGGAGCTAAGTTTCCTTTGGCAGACTCTGTGCTGAATCAAGCATACAGTTTTCATGAAGCATAATGCTGGCATAAACACATGTCGTGTCATATGTCATAAACATATGTCAGTTTACTCACAGGTAAACTTTTTTTAGGATAAACCTCTATTCCCAGTTGTGCATGAAAATGTAAAGAGAGAACACAGTGAGAAAAAAAAAAAAAGATGCATTTTGTATCTTAATCTACATCTATATTTGTCACACTTTTCTGTTTTTGTTATTACTGGTTATTACACCCACAAGTTACTCACACATGTGAGCACTGGCCGCAGACAGTTAGACAACAAAATTCACCTCCCTACGATGTACTATCTTCAACAAATACCCCAGAACGCCTTCAGAAATTCTGCTGGTACTTTTCCTCCCAGCTTTTTATTTATACCTTTACTTTCTGAAGCCCCAGAGTCACAGATTTCCTCAGCAAGCTCCTCTGAGCATTGTGGCTAGCCAGCACTAGATAGACAGTCTGCACAGTCAGGGACATAGCAAGGAGAAGAAAGATAAAAAAGGAGGAAGGATCCTGGCTGCTGCAGGGTCTACTTCAATCCTCATCATGTCAAGCCTGCAAGGAAAGTACCTCTGGGTGGCATGCAATCATTCCTTAGCTTCATGGAGCAGTAGATACTGTCAGGGGTTCTCTGCTCTGTGTCCTACTCTCAAGCCTGGTATTTTCTTTTCAATGCCTGGGGAAAAAAAAAGCCAGAATAAGCTTCTCCCTAAGACTCTCCCATCCTCCAGCTGCTTTCAGCTCAGTGGATTTCCTGAGAGTGCTGTTATTAAGGCTTTGTTCCCTTCCCCCCACCTTCTTGAATTAAATGCTTTGCTGAGATTTCTACTGCAAAGAAAACTATGTTGCTAAACTTCTTTCTGATGAAAAATTTACACTAATTTTCTGCATTAATACTTCTATGATCACAACACAGCAGGTTTGCCTCTCAAGAAACATGAATTATTTTTGTTTCAGTGCGGCTGTGATCGGAGCACACAGTGAAGTGGGCTGGCACCAACAGCTAGAGACAGCTATCTTACAAAGCCAGATAAAGCCTTGAGCACATAGTGGGTGGGTTTGTTTCAGCCAGCAAGATGGTAGAAAGTCCTGGAGAAGAAAGCTGTGGTGTGCATTCATTAGCCTAGCACAAGTCCCACCATAGAGATACAACTCCCTCCTGTATTATGGGCAGTATTCAACTGACGCTTTCATGGTCCCAAGCCCAGCGCCTAGAACCTGCCAGCAATGATGTACTTGTTCACCTGTGTGTTTGATGGTTGTACCACTGAGCGAAGAGAATGGCAAGAGTGTGGAAAGGATAGTCATATCTACATAGGATTGTGTTGTCCAGTATTAGAACTAAAACAATTAAAACTAAAATAAGGAGAGAAGTATCATTTAAAAGGAAAACAGAGGCATATTTACCAGCCTGCATGTTACTAAAATGTTCAGCTTTATCATGCACAAAAAGTGTAGTGGACATTGTAGTTCCCATACCTTGAGGAACATGCTAACAGCCAGACACCTGGGGTGTTTGTGTCCCAGCCTCCAATTGCTTTCAGCTCAGGGATTTTCCCGAGTCATGGTTTGCGTGTCTCCAGCCTGCAAACCACTTCTTTCCCATGAACCTGCATGATATCCTCTGTAATTCATGGCACTAGGTTACATTTGTAGTTTGGATGCTGCTTATCCTGGCAAAACCTTGCTTCTGCTTGTGCAGCTTCCTCTCCTGCCCTCCAGGCCCCTTTCCAAAGGAAGCAGACGGTACCAACAAACCTGCTGTTTACACGCCAGTGCACCAACACTGGCAAAAGCATAGTGTGCACATGCAGCCTGATGTGTTCTTACAGTAAGTACTTTATACTCAAAAGGAACTTTATGGTGTTTTCTCTCATTGCAGTAGCAGCACGTACTCTTTTCTCAACACCACATAAGCAAGCAGGCAGCTGAACCCCTCACCATCACACGGGCAGCAGCTCTACAGACGTTTTTGACACTCAAACTCGCTCCCCAAGTACCTTACTTCATCCCGAAACTAGTCCCCCAGCTCTAGAAGCCCAGCCACCCGCCGCCCCTTCTTAGGGCCCTTCTCGCCCGGGGAGGGACAGAGGGACGGGGGGAGGGACGGAGAAAATGCCGGACCAGCCCCACGGCCGCGCACCGCCCCCAGCTCTCGCCCCAGGGAAGCGGGGGGAGGCTAGGGACGGGCCTGAGCCAGCTTTTTGTTGTAACAAACGTTTCGCGCTGCCTATAAGGAGCCCGCTGCTGCCCAGCGCAGCTGGAAGCGGGATTTTCTTCCCATTGTCTGCTGGGCCCGGCCCGCTCGGCTGCGGTCTCAACTGCCGAGGGCGCCCGGGTCGGGTGCGGCGTGGAGGTACCGGACACGGGACACCGGCAACAGGGCTTCCGATAGACATCAAACTGAACCAGAGAAATGCAAGATTCGGGCCTAACCAAGACTGCTAGTTGGGCTTCAAACCCGAATATTAACGAGCATTAAGAAATCTTTCCAATGCAGACAAAAATAAGTCAAAACGACTAAAAAAATGCATCCTTCTTACTCTTCGTTGTGCAACCTGAAACCATTTAATGCAAACAGGCACTCAGGGGAGTCCATGAGGATATAATCCTTCAAACAAGGCCCGCAAACTCCCATATGTAAGCTATATGCCTGCCTCTCTACACTTGCTTTAATTCACTGCCTGCCAGCTCAGAGAAGGTAACGGCTGGGGTTGCAGACACTCCCTAGGTGTTTGCTTTAGTATACCTTGTTCTTTCCAAAATCAAATATTTGTATCCTGAAACAAGTATTTGGAAACATTCCAGAGTAGCCTTTACAAATATGTTAAGTGCAGCAAACTGTTGGCAAGCAATAGACTCCAGGTATAAACCTGTAAGGTAGGCAAACCATAAGGCTTCCACCCTTCATTTGCTTCAGCATTGATGAAACTGCGGCTTAAATGTTTATTTGGCAGCTCCCTGTGGGTCCTGAAGAGATAAAGGGCTAAAACCTCTATACTTAAGATAGCTGAACTTCTGCCTTAAATAAATATTCACATGGGTAAGGAGAAGGCACTGTGGCAGAGTAACAAACTTTTTCACTAAAGAGCCTGAGTCTGCAATTGGAGCTCTGTTTTGGAGTTTGGGCATATCCCCCCTACTGACCCAGCTGTAGGGGAACCTGGCTGTCCAGGCTGAAGAGTTAAAGATGATTATGTATGCTTCTCCTCTGCTTGCTTCTGAATGCAAAAAATCAATGTTCCTTAACCATGCCAGTCTGAGCATAACTGTTAGCTTGAATGCACGATAGAAACAGTAGAAATGATAAGGACCTGAACGTCTTCTATTTTTTTTTTTATTTTCTTACATAAATATAGCTCAGATGCAATTTGTACAGAGGAGGTTTCAAAGAAGCCTAAGATAGCCAAGCAGCAATATCCCATGGAAACTTGGCATATATTTCTATCAAACTTCTTTTAAAAATTATATGCCTTAACAAAATCAGAGCCAAATATCACAACTAAGTGCTTAACATAAGGTAGCCTTTTTGTAATTATACTGATGGTAAATCCCTTCTTAAAGAATTGCCTGCAAATTTCATTTGCTCTTTATTAATACAAGCAATATAATGCAATCAATAAATTATAGTCCCTCTGTTTGGTATCTGACCAACCCCTCAAGCACCCTTTGAAAGCAGATTACCAGCACTTTCTTTCCTATTTATTTTAGATAATGTAAAATGTTCTTTCATATTTAAATACATAATATGAGTAAAGCTTCATCATTGCTATGCAACTAGCTATTATTTGCATTTTGCTTTTTAAAAGGGGACATAAAACCCTGATACAGCAGTCTCAAACAAAATGTGGTTTTACACACTACTACAAATCTTTTCTACTAAACACACTGGAGAAACTTTTACTGTTCAATGCGCAAACTCTTGTTACATCTTTGACTGACTGGGCACAATGGATGCATCTTTTTCATCAGCAGCAGTCCAAAACTATTTTAGTAATAGTGATGACTACTCATATGACTAAAATTATTTGCATGCATAAATGTTTATAGAATTAAGCTTACAGTGTATTTTAATGAAGTATGCCATATTTCTAGTCAAGAGTAATTAACTGTGAAGTGTGTCACTTTTTCATTCCTGACGTATTTCAGAAACTTTATAATGCATTTGCCTAGACATGTTTATTTATCTCATAGTCCATATAAAACCAGGATAAAATGTACAAGTTTTCTTGCTACTTACATATATATCCATGCACCTATAAAGTTCCGTATTTCGTATTACTGTGTATCTCCCAATCCTGCAGTGAAAGCGTGGTTAATTGTTGGACTCAAGGATCTTACAGGTCTTTTCCAACCTAAATGATTCTATGATTCTCTGATCTACAGCTTGCAACATACAGCCAACTCTGCAACACACTACTGATTCTGTATGTTCTAGTTTCTGTTGCTCAAGGTATCCACTTTCAAAAACATTATCCAGAATTTCTCCAAGTTGGACTTCACGATGGGAGGAATTTGCATGTATCAGGGCCAGATAAGCAGTCCATTTTCCCCTGCAACAAGAAGGTCCAGACCTAAGCGTGTGATAAAATACATGTATAATAAAGATCCGTTTCAAATGTATTATTAAAAAAAAAATAATAAAAGAAACAAACAGCAACTCCAGAAGACACCACTAGAGTTCTCCTTCTCCCAAATATCCCTAGCACCATCCTAAACCCTGTTTACCCCAGAAACCTGAACTGTGGACAGACAGAAGAGGAGAGAGAGAGAGAAAATTCAGACACAATAAAACTCTGAGGGGAAAAATATGTGGAAGGAGGAGGCAGCAGCGGCCTGGGGAAGGGATTGAAAAGTTTCCCCTGGCTTAACTTCTCCCCCCCTGCAGCAGCAGAAGCAGCGCCAGCAGCACAAGGTGAGAGAGACTTTTAAGTCTGGGGAGGAGGGGTGTGTGTGCGGGAGGGGGGATGAATTTACAGCCCTGTGGATATTTCTGTGTCTGCCTCCCTGGCTTTGGGGTGCGAGAGACGCCGTGTCTCATGCTGGGTGGATTTTTTTTTAATATGATGGAGGATTATAAACATGGCGCCTTAAAAAAACTACAAAATCATGTACACACTGTTCCAAGGAGATGGGGGAGAGGGGACAGGGGAAGGGCTGGGCACCAGGGGAGGGGGCAATCCTGCCCCGCGGGGTGCCATATGGGGAGGGGGGAGCAATTATACTTCATCATAAAATGTGTGGGGTTTGCGGGGGGGGGGGAGAGAGAGAGATATGGAGGGCGGGATTTTTTATTATTAGTATTATTTCATTTTTCGGAGTGGGCAGGATTATCTGCCAGCCCGCTTGGAAACCGAGGAGGAGAAGGGGACGGCGGCGGAGCGCGTGTGATTATTAACGGCGATTATTTTTGTCCCTACACCTTTCCACACCTTCAGCCGGATTTCGGCTGGGAGGTGGCGGCGGACCCCCCGCTCCCTCCGCACCGAGTCGCAGTTAGCCCCGGGGTCGGGGCAGGAGGAGGTGGGGTGGGGAGAGGGGCGCACAACAGAACCGCTGTTTCTAGCGCTCCGCGCAGGCCTGCAGGGAGTGGGGGAGCCCGGGACTCGCGTGAGAGGGAGGCCGAGTGGGGTGTGGCGCAGCCCGGCCTCAGCCCCGGCACCCCCCGCAGCCTCGCTCGTTACCCACACGCGGGGCTACTGCTTTGCTCCCCACTTCCTCCCACCCCCTTTCGTTTCTCTCACACAGCCCCCCGCCTCTCCCATTTCTTCGCTGGGGTGGGGGGTGTCTCCTTGGAGGACGGAGCTTGGCCCGAGTAATGGCAGCTGCTCGACAGCGCCGAGGCTCCACAGAGAGAGACGTCGGGCCCCCGCATGCCGGCCGCGGCGGGAGAGAGGCCATGGCTCCTCTTCCCCAAAGGGAGGGCACAGCAGAGGACGGGGAAAGGGGTGAACTTAAGAGTCCCAGCCCTCCTCCCCCCCCTCCCGGGCGGCTGCGGGCGGGCTGCGCCACCTCCGCGGCGGGGACGGTCTCACCGCCCGGCTCTGCCGAGAGGGCAAGCTGGAGACGGGGGCCCCTGGTTTCCCGGATTGCCTTGCTGGCGGAACGCCTCGTCCCCGGCATAGCCCTGTGGGGCTTCCTCGCCTTCCCTGTCTGCTCCGGGGTAGGGCGGTGGAGGAAAGGGGCCCATTTCCCCACTCTCCTTCTCCCGGGGCGGCGAGGGGCGTGCGGGCCGGGGCCCTCCCGAGCGCTCCGGGAACAGCTCCCTCGCCGGCCCTGCAGAAGGGGCCTTTCCGAAGCCCCGCCGGGCTCGGTGGTCGAATGTGGGGAGAATGTGAACTGCGGAGGAGTTTGCTTGTGGTGGGTTTTGTGAGGGTTGTGTGTGTGTGTCCCTGAAACCCTGTCTCCACAGCATGCCCCTCGATTCACTTTGTAAGGTGTTTTCCTTCTTCCTTTACCTCGCCTGTTGTTCAGAGGCCTATGTGTCTCCTTTCTTTTATGAGGAAAGGGTGCAAACGTAGGTGTGGGGTTTCCTATGGTAAGGATGATGGGGAGCTTTAGTATACTTTCCTGACCTTCCGTGTGTGTTCCGTGGGAACAGGCCACCTGTCAAATACAACTGTTAGGGACTTGGGAAAACTTTGTGTGTCTTTTGGGGCTTACCCTGAAAAGACCAGGCTTTGTTTGGGAATTTAGTTTTCGATTTCTGCAAGCGCGGCAAACAGAACTTCACAAAGCCTAGAGCAGGGGTGGCTTGAGAAGAAGAAGAGGGGTGAAAAATTATTCAATTTGGTGGTGGTTAATTTTATAACTATAATTTGGCATTTTAACACTTGGGAATCATCTGACAGTCTCTGTATCATAAGAGTAATACTATTTGTTGTAGTTTTGAGAAGATCTTACTGCAGTGGAAAGGACCAAAAGTTGAAAATGCTTTCTTGTCCCAGATATGCTGATATTTTTGCACTTGTGTTGCTATTCTTTGTAAGAAATTGTTTAATTCTTCAGGAGTGACCACTGAGACAGGTGTCGGGAGGCTGGAAGAGTGGAATGGAAATGTTTGTGGTTCAGGTTGCAGTCCCTTGACGTTTTCTAGTCCCTCATTTCTCAATGTGAAGGACCAGGCATCTCTCCACGTATTTTCAATTTTTTTACAGTTTTTTGATTATCAACCATTCTGAGTGCACCACAGAAGGTCCTTAGGAAAGGACCATTTGCTGACTGCTGCTTTGTATAAAACTGAAGGTACACGCAAAATAATTCCCAGCATAGATTTATGTTTAATGTAAGCTTTTCCATGCCTAAACAAACCCTCTATGTTTTGTTCATCTATTTGTATGGGGAAGTGAATGGTTCATGTGCTAGTGTAACAGAGAACATTTATCCTTCTGATGGTGAGTTTAGTTTTAATGAGTGGGAAAAAAAAAGTTACTGTGTCGATGACTTTGTTGATCGTGCTATGCTCTGCTGTCAAGAAGCAGCATCTGCAAGTCATACTTGGGTACTGTGTTCAGCACCAATGGGCTGAGTGAAAAAAAATGACTCTTCCACTCCATCTCATGAGCTGGGTAGAGTGATGGAAATTACCTAACAATGATGTCAGCTATGTAAGGGGCATTGTGAGTGTGTGGATGTTGGGTGGGGGTCTTAAGACTTTGGTGGTGTGCTAGAATATGCTCTTCCAAGTTTTGGAGCTTTTGTAGCACTAATTTAACAAGCAGTTGCCCTCCATACCAGTTAAACAGGTGTATTTTTATTATTTTTTTTTTTAATCTAAGCAAGCACTTATAGCTATTATTTTTAAATATAAACTTTAAAAAAAATCAAGTTTGTGCATCATGAAGTTAAATTCTTAATGGTTTTAGCCCTCATGTGAGTCACAGTGATACTTCTCAACTCTTAGGGAGCAATTGAAGACTACACAAGTAACAAGAATTTCATGACTGTAACTGCTGTGCATGCTATATGTGACTGCTAGCATAACTTTTGCTCTTTTGCAGTAATCTGGTGCTGTGTGACCATACTTATTCATGGGTAGTAGGCAGTCTGTATGCAGCTAATGTTCAGGTTGCCTGGGGCTCCTGCCTGAGCTTTGTAGCAGAGAGTGGAAGGGACTCTAGGAAAGACATAAGGCTTCTGCAGGGGAAGACCTTGGATCATCCTTTCAGCCTGACATCATCTCAAGAGCAAATGAGATGGTGAAAGGCTGTGAAGTGTGCTCAGCATTTCTACTTTGCACATGAATGTAACCTACTAGGTGGTGCTCCTGGAGAAGATAACAATAAGGTGGACAATGAATTTGGCCTCAAACTCACTTTGAAGTGGCTTAGGCTACATCTAGAGTGTTGTGCATTTCTACTGGTGAACTTGAGGACCACTGAACTGTGCTATCTGCAGTCTCTAAATTAAGATTAAGTACTTAAAAAAGAAATAGATAAAAGCCACCAGTTGAAGATGTTTTTTCTTCATTTTAGACATCTAAACCTCTCCATAAGTGTCTGCATTGTCTAGTCTGTTAGAAAATGGTCTAATTTCATACGATTTGAGAATTGGGAAGATCTGGTACTAGGAGACTTGTTTTGGAATTGAGAACCCAAATTCAGTCAACTGAAGTTCACAAATTGGGACGTACCTGTATAACTGGATTTTATATTTGCTACCTTCCATAATCTTTAAGAACATTTAGCTCTGGAAGTGTGTAAGGACTTGAGGCAGTGAATCTGTCTAGGATAAAAGTTCTGAAAGAGGGACAGTGTGATGATGAAGATGTCCTCAGTAAAATTCTGTTTTTCTTCTTAAATGAGTATTTAGCTAGCTCTAGAGTGGCATAAATGTTGGTAAAACAACTATTTTATCTGTAATGTAGGTTGTTAGAAATGCTAAGTCAAACTATAAACAGAATTAATCTATGCAAAGTATGTGTGGCTCACACCAGTGATGACCTTGGTTCATAAAATGCTGAGTTGTTTAAATATACTGCCTAGATGTATACAAGAGTTTATTTTCCTGAATGAGGTTAAATTTTGGTTTTTTTTTTTTGGTGGTTTTTTTTTTGTTTTTGCAAGAGTTAGGTCAGAATTGTTGGAGCAATTCTTTCAAATTTCTTTCAAATCCTGACCACTGCTGTTATGCTTTTACTTCCATATCATGGGACTTTCTTTAGCCATCCTTCTTGCACTGATTGTTGGGGAGCTCATGTCAGATTATGTTCTTTATCTGCAGCGTGGTTTTTTGTATTAGTTGTTGTTGTGTTCTTTTAGTCTGGGGATGGGATGAACACTCCTGTAGTGCTTGTGTAGTACTTGGAGCATGGTGGCCTTGGTAGCTGGGCAGTGGCACATACATCATCTGTTATATAGCTCATACATTTTAGTCTGTCAGTGTTGCTTGTGCTAAATGTTGTAAACAGAGTTTGTTCTTGTCAGGTTCTGGATGATTTTTGGTCAGTTGAATGTAAATTTAGCTCATAATTGGGTTATTGTTCTAAGGTTTAATCTGTGAGTTGGGAGAATATGGCCTGCAAAATAGGTTTATAAGGTGAGGTAATGATTCCATCTTGCAGGA